CTATGACATGAAGACAGTAACACTTCTTTGTTGTTTTGAGACAGGGTCTCACTGTGTAGTTCAGGCTGGCCTTGATCTCACTACGTAGCCCAGGCTGGCTAGTAACTCATGATCCTCCTGCCTCAGCCTCCAAGTGCTGGGAGTACAGGCATGCACCAGCATGTTATCTTCATGTAGATGAAGATAACACTTTTTGTTGTTGTTTTTTTTTGGGTACCCGGAATCAAACTCAGGACCTTGTGCTTGCCAGGCAGGTGCTTGTGCCACTGAGCTATATCCCTGGCCCGAGGACAACATTTCCCAGGACTGAGACGTACCAGGAATAGCACAGAGCAGCACACAGTCAGTACTCAACAAACGGCAGTGACAAATGTCAAGTGCCTGCCATGTTCCAACCCTGCAGATAGGAGATGAAAGCTAAACACCACGCACATGGGGGAGGTGTTATTACAGTACTTTAGTATCAACACTTGAACATTACAAGCTGCTAAGGAACCAAGCTAGCAATCACCTGGGTCTTCTGTGGATCTGCAGCCTCGGCCACCACTTCTGCAGTACCCTATGGGCAGCGGTCCCTAGGGAGAGGAACGGGGCCAACCCGCTATAGTGAACATCCTCCTGATCGAGGTCAGATAGGGCCAAGCCAGAAGTCCTGGCCTTTGGCAGGGGTTGAGCAACACGACCCAGAACCTGAAGGATCTGCTTTCTCCAGCAGGTATAAGCCGGAAGGCTTGCCCTGGGCCTCCCAGCCAAACCGAGACCAGGGTACTCTCCTGCTGCTGACCAGCACCAGTTGTCTCTCTCCTTGCCAGGAATCCAGGGTACAGCAGCCACCGCCAGGCCAAGCTCAGACTGGGCTTGTCTGCAGGCTTTGTCTCCAACCTGTCCATAGCCAAGGGGCCCGAACCAATATCCTCAGCGCACATCCAGTGGTGACAACCAGTCAGTGATTCAAACTCCAGCTGAGGACAGAGCCCTGTGGGAGAAGGCTCTGGACTCCTCTCGGGGTGAGGAATTTGCCTTCTAAATGAGCCATCAGCACCTAAAAATGATTAACTAGCAACAGGGCATATTCAAAAGGCCAAAGAAGTGGCGTGGAAATGAGGACTCCGATGGAATTCAAAAAAGGAGCAAGACCACTTTGGGGGGCAGTTTGCCTGTGACCTCCAGAAAGAAGCTACTCAGATAATGGGTCATAAACTTACACACCCAAGAACTGCGGATGGCTATGAAAAGGAGTGAGCCGGGGTAGTGTCACAACAGGGATGGGGCAGACTTGACTTGGGGACTTTCTGGTCCTGTCCCCCAGGTCCCACTGCAGACCCTTGCAACGCACTGGGCCCAGAGGTAACAGCCGCTGGTTCTCCCGAGCTCCGCTGGCACCATCCAGGAGAGAACGTGAAGCTCCAGAACTCCTGCCTAAGGATGGCACGGGCCTCAGGGCGGGTTGCAGAGCACAGAGAAGAGGCTCTCCGTGCTTTAGCTGCTCTTGTAGGACAGTGCGAGCTGCTGTAAGGAAGAGCCACGGGCTGGGTGGCTCAGCTCTGAAGGGTGAGGGCTGAGACTGCCACCTCCCTACTGCACACGCAGGGCGATGACACAGGAGCGCTCTGATAAAGGCGCTGATCCCTCACGTAGGCCCAACCCGGGATACCCTGGTCACTTCCCAAGGCCCCGGCTCCCGACACATCGCTAGGGGTTTTACCCTCCGCGAGTGAGTGGGGGAGCGTGCAGCACCCACACGACACAGTACGCCTTAATGTCCTTTTCCTCAGCCGCTGCTGTAAGCCCAACGCTGCAAACCATTCAGTCTACTGGGCCTCCCATTTCTTAGAGCCAAGGACGGGCTTGGCGCCAATACCTTTACGGCGTCCGCTTGATATAAGCCTCCGTTTGTGGGGAGGGTACTGGGAATCAAACTCGGGACTCCGAGCTCGCCAGTCAGGCGCTGCGCCGCCGAGCTGTATCCCCAGTCCCACAGGCCTCACGCTTGACTCCACTACTTTTCCCTTTTCCTTCTTATTTTGCTGAACGGTATTTCATTCATCAACAGTTGGGGAACGTCACTTGAGCAGGCACTTCATCAGCCTTACTTCTGACCCATACTAGATGTCTTCTAGAGACAGGGCTTCGCTATGCAGTTCAGGCCGGCCTTCAACTCACTGTGTAGCCTGGGCTGGGCTCAAAGATTTTGATTCCTCAACTGTTAAACTTGTATGACTGTCAGATTGCAGCCACACAAAGGTACCCAGTGACCTGTAAGAGAAATACACTCTCTACCTGGTTCAGACCAGATTTTTCCTAAGGTTATGATGACTGTTTCTCCAGGTCGTTTTGTTTGCTGCCTATAGTTCTTAATTTTAATGGACAAGGATTTAAAAACAAAAAACCCATTATACTCCAATGAAGCTTTGTCTGTAATTTTATCACTGACAGAAGAGCAAACTCATACATTACTGTACACACCTGTAAAAAAACGTATTAAATTATCTTGGGCCAGAGCCTGTGAGACAATGTTTAACTTCGTATGCTATTTGCTCATCCTGTGCTGGCTGGCAGCCAGCCTCGGTCTCTGCCGCCGCCTCAACCAAGCAGCATGCTGGCTAGTGTCCTTCAGCCCTTTTTTGGTTTCAGGTCCTGCTGCCCTGAGGGCAGTGCAAACCAGATGAATCCAACTATCTCAACTGCAAGCAGGCAGGGCATTTCAAGGATCATAAACTTAAGATTTGCCAACCTAAGATCAAGTTGCAGGCCTTCGAGTTATTTCAGTTTCCCAATGTGACTCAGTCCCCAGGTGACTGAGCACCACCACACTCAAAGCATAAAATCATTTCTTGCCAGTTCTCCAGAAAGAACGTAGGAAGCACTGTCAGCTGAGCACGGGGGTATATACCTATAATCCCAGCACTCTGGGAGGCTGAGGCAGAAGGATCACAAGTCCAAGCCCAGCCTGGACAATTGAGCAAATTGAAACTGTCTCAAAATTTAAAATGTCTGGAGATGTAGCTCCACGCAAAGCACTTGGGGTTCAATTCTCAATACAGGCTTTAAAAAGCACTATTAATTTCATGCAGCTAGCACAGATTCAAGAACCCAATCACATCTCCATCTTCTTTTAGTCAAACTATGATGATCCTGTTACCTTCACCTCCATAGACAAATGAAAAATGCAAGCATGTCTCTGACTGATACTGCTCAATCTTCCTCTCATATTGGCATTATGGTTTTCTCAAAAAAATAGGTTGCAAACAAGTGTGGACATTTTAAATAGCGTATCTTGATATTGGTGGAAAGTAACTTAATAGTGTGGATAGTAACCTTTCTTCTAAGATAAGGTCTACTATGCAGTTCTAGCTAGCCTTGCACTATGTCACCCAGGGTGGCTTCAAACTCTCAATACTCACAGCCCCAGCCTCCTTACAGGTATGCACTACCATGCACAAGCATTATAAAGTAGATATGTTGGAGAAAAATGCCAAATCAAGGAACTGTAAGAGACCTAAAGCCGGGCATGGTAGCACACACCTGTAATCCCAGCACTTGGGAGGCTGAGGCAGGATTGCCATGAGTCTGAGGCCCACCTGAGCTACACAGTGAGTTCAAGGCCAGCCTGAACTACAGAGCAACACACTGTCTATTAAAAAATCAAAACAAAACTGGGCGTGGTGGTACACACCTGTAATCCCAGCTCTTGGGAGGTTGAGGCAAGGTCTCAAGTTTGAGGCCAGCCTGGGCTATGAAGTAAGCACAAGCCCAACCTGCACTGCACAGTGAGACTCTGTCTCAAAAGACAAAAAAACCTAGGAGGCCTAAAGATGTCTTTTGTACCAAGCATGGTGGGGCATGCCTCTAAGTCCAGGACCTAGGAGACTAAGGCAGGAGGATCATAGCAAGTTCCAGACCAGTGGGGCTACATAGTGGTTTTCACAGTGAAACCCAGTCTCAAAAATGCAAAACAACTAAAAAGGCTTTTTGTAAAATATACATGATTCTCAAAGTTATTTGGGCAGGTTTTAAAGTTCATAATCTACATCTATATACTTTTTTTTGTTGTTCTGAAACAGGGTCTTGGGCTGAGGATTTAGCTCAGCGGCACAGCGCCTGCCCAGCAAAGCGCAAGGTCATGAGTTCGATTCCCAGTACCGGATAAAAAAGCCAAAAAAAAAAAAAAAATAGTGACTGAAACAGGGTCTTGCTTGCTATGTGATTCAGGCTGACCTTGAACTCACTACCTATCTGACACTGGCCTCAAACTAGGTGATCCTCTTGCCCCAGCCTCCCAAGTGCTGGGATTACAGATGTACACCACTGTTCCTGGCTACATCGAAATACTTTTTAAAAATCCTTTACTAGAGCCAACAATAAGATATTCCAAATATCTCAGAGGAAATAATCAAGTCTTCAGACCCATAATGGCTAATGAAAATTTTGTTTCTGTCATGTGTGCATATTTTTGATGGCTGTTTTGTTTTACAGTGCTAGGGATTAAACTGAGGGTTCATGCATAGCAGGTAAATGCTCTACCACTGAGCTACATCCCACAGCTTCAATGAGACAGGGTCTGAGATGGCCAGGCTGGCCTTGAGCTTGCTATCCTCCCATCTCAGGCTCAGAGTGTCTGATATTATAGGCAAGAGCAACAATGCCCAGGCTTTTTTGTTTTTGTCTTCTTAAAGGACGCATACTACTACTTTCCCTACGTGCACCTAAGCCAAAGAGTTTACAAGAAGCCTGTCAGTTCTTCTAAAAGATCATTTTTGCTTAGTGCTTTCCTTTATCGAGTGCTTTTCTATGCTTTAAAAATAAGCACTGCCACAACAGTTCTCTCAAAACCAAACATAAACACAGTTACACTCATGAAGCACAGCATTACTCTGAAGCACTGCTTTGGTCTTCAACTATTCTTCATCAGCCTTTCCTGGATTTGCTTGTGGTGCTCCAGGAATCTTGCAATGGAAATAGACAAGAAGCACTATACTTTCATATTTAAGAAGCACTCGTATTTTTTTTACAAGTCTTTAATAAAAAAACTCAACAAAAATATATAATCAAGCATTTTACATAATGCATACAGTCTTAAATAACAGAAGGCAAAAAGCAAGTATACTGTATTTTCTCTTTGGCGAGGTACCAATATTATCCTCTGCAAAAACACAGAATATGTGGTAAAAAAAAAATGGTCTTAAAATAATTGTCCCTTAGTATAAACACGGTATTTAATAATACAGTAGATTTCTCAAATTAACTAAAACATATAACATGTTATGCCACAGGAGTAAGGTAGCAAGCTGTTTTCCCAAATTAAGGCCTGCAGCAGTATTTAATGGGGTAAAGACATCCTTTTCTAGTTTTTATCTTGGCTTTTTTTTTTTTTTCTTTGCTACCAGGAATCAAACTCAGGGCCTTGCACTTGCCAGGTAGGTGCTGTGCAGCTGAGCTACATCCTGGCCCCTATCTTGGCTTTTAAAAAAATGTCACATTCAATTACCACCTCTCAGATGCCATTCTAAGGAAAACAAAATCCTTTCCCTACACAAAACCTGTGTTTCACTAGCTAGGTCAGTCTGCTCCTGCCCCAGTCAAATTCACTTTGAATGAGGCAATTCAGGTTTCTTAAGTCAATATTTCTCACCAAATTCAGTGTCCCAAATTTTAAAAAATTTTCCTTCTGCTTTACAACAAAGATACATGTTATGGTTCTACTGAAGCAGAATATACAGGTCAGAAAAATCAGAAAAGCAAAGGGTCCATTCAACACATAGCAGCTTATGTCTAAATACATACATCTATGTATATGTTTTCACAGTTAATCTAAAAAAATTTACATTTAGTATGTTCAGAAATACTTCTATAGTCTATAAATAATATTTTAAAAGCTCAACTGGTAAAATGCAGCACAAGAATGTATCAAATTAAATAAATCTTCTAAACCTTTAAAAACAGAGACATCGTCAGTAAAGCTTGAGGTTCATGGTAAGTGTATTCTGTCAGTCCCTACTACTAGGGAAGGCAGTCTTCTAAACAGGATATAAGGGCTGGGGACGTAGCTCAGTGGCCCAGAGCCTGCCTGGCAAGCACAAGGTCCCGAGTTCAATTCCCAGTATTAGAAAAACAAAGGCAACTAAATACGATACAAAAGAAACTCCAAAACTTTGGAAGGAATTGGCAGCTTCTGGACTTCTTGAGTGGGCATCACTCTTCGGATTGACATACGACATAAATGTTGAAGGCTGGCAACTTGTCTTGGAGTGGCCCAAAAATACACACTTCCATCATGTGTCCTAAACAGAAACAATAAGCATAAGTACATGTAATTCAAAGTTCCTATAGTTCAAGCAACTGTCATCATGGTCTACATATTGCAAACTTTACTTTAAAATCTAATTTAAGGAGAACTACCCAATGATGTGCTCCCTAACAAGGCAATAACAGTGTTAATGGTTTATATCAGATGTCCCCTCAAAGCCTCATGTGCGCATAGGTGGGGCTTTTAGGAGGACTGGATCACGGGGATTGATACTGGATTACTCAAACCACTATTGGGTTTATGGCTGGCTGTGGCGTTGGGAGGTGAAGCCTGGTAGGCGTCGCCCCCCCCCCCACATTTGCTTCATCCTCCTCCCTTGATCTTTTTCTACTTCCCACTGCCACGGCATGAGCCGTTTCTCTTCTGCAGTGCACCTCTACCATGCTGCCCTGCCTTGGAGCCACCCAACTATGGACTGAAACTTTCATACACTGAGAAAAAAATCTATCTTTCCTGCTTTAGCTTGTGTGTCAGGTATTGTCACAGTGAGAAGTAACTACTACAACATTATAAAAAGCACCTGTGAGAGACTTACAATAAACTGCTTTGCTTTAGAAGCCATCTTAACTTGCCCTTCCAAGGAAAGAAACATACCCAGCAGCTAGAACACTGCCATCAGTAGAAAAGGCACAGCAAAGACCATTGCTCAAAGGTGCAACTTGTACTGGACAATCCTCATCAATTCTCCAGAACCTCACCATTCTGGAAGGAAAACAAATTATCAAGTGAGTGTCTTTTATGAAGTTTAAGGTAAAAGCAACTTTTGAATTCACAAAGAAATGCCACTGTGTTGAATCACAAAATATACCAACATAAATCACTAACAGGTAGTTAGGATAATTTGTTTTTAAAAAGCTTCCTCCTTATTTTCTTACCCTCAAAATCTGAGTATTTTATTCTTTCCAAGGCACTTATGAAGCCTTTCCACTCTGCTGTACCTACAAATACAGCAAACAACTATATTCAAGAATGTGAGCAAACAAGAAAACGGCTGCTGGCAAATACAAACCTCTTACATACGTTTGGTAACATTCTGGGAAAATGATGAGTAGTTTTATGAACTGATGTGATCAAACTGCTCAGTGCCATGGCCAGGAATATATATGATACATACATGAAGAAGTGGAATAGCTACAACTAATTTCTGCCTCTTACCAGTGAGCAGCATATTCCTTAAATATGATATTTCATCCTCGAGTCTCAGCAGTAGATGTAAGTAACTGTGTTTAACTATTTCAGCTGAGTTTCCTTTTGCTTCACTATTTATTTGCTTCACCCTTGATAGGATACTACTTTAAAAAAAATCTCTGTGGGATGGGCTAACAGCTGGTTAATAATCTGCTCAGTTTGCCTAAGTCAGTTAAGCAGGCAACAGGGAGAAAGGCATTCATTATTATTAGTTTACAGAGGTATTAGTTAGACCAATGTTCTTTAAGACATATATCAGCATCTAACAAGGTCTTGTCGAGAGGTGAAACCGTAGCTATAGAAAGTTTTTTTCTTTAGGGGGGACGGGTTTCTCTTTTTGAGACAAGGTCTCACCATGAAGTTCAAGCAGGCCTTGAACTCAGTGATCCTCCTGCTTCAGCCTCTCAAGTGCTGGGATTACAGGTGTACACCACCACACTTGGCAAGAAAGGGTTTTTGACTTGAGTATTTTCATTAAATAGAAGGATGAAAGGTAATTAAGCAGAAATAAGCTATAACTCAAACACTTACTTATCATCAGCAAGGCTTGCAATGTGCAGTCCATCATGACTAAAAGATACAGAGCGTACCCATCGGTCATTTGCTCCTCCGGCAAATATCGGAGTAGGCGGGGGAAACAGGTGCCTGTGGTCAAACACATGTTCTTTTCAATAGCTTAGAGTCACTTCTAGAAACAAATTACCCAAGTACACCATACATCTGTCTTTGAATAAAGCAGCCTTAATAAATGCAACTGAGAAGATTGAGTAGAGACGATACAACCAAGTTAAATGACGGTGACCTTTTTCACAGTATAACTGAGATGCTAAGATTAAGCTCCCAAAGGTGAGGACATGTAGCCTCACAAATACTACTACTTCTTTTTTTTTCTCTTGGTACCAGGAATCAAACTCATGACCTTACACTTGCTGGGCAGGTGCTGTGCCACTGAGCTATATCCCCAGCCCAGCTAAGTATAACTTTTTGGTTTTAACTATTTTTCCCCAACATGATACTCTAAACATAATTATCACTTCCCACTGGATACTATTAAACAGCAAGACCACTATCATGAAAGCCAAACTGGTTTTCAGAATTTACATCTAAAGCTTTGTATTATTCCAGGGCTTAAATAACAGCAAATTTTTAAATTATGGTGCACTGTAATTTTAGTTTTCATACATTAACAATTCTAAGTATTCATCTTATTTCTCTTTTTAATTAAGACAAAGTCCATGTTGTCCAGGCTAGTCTTGAACTCCTGAGCTCAACTGATCCTCCTGCCTCAACCTCCAGAGCCCCAGAACTACCCCAGGTGTACCCCAGAACAGGTGCATCAACAAACCCAGCACACTGCCAGCATATCTGCTGTCACTTGTCTTTTTTTTTTCTTTCTCTTTTTCTGGTACCAGAGGATTGGGTATACAGCTCAGGGGAACAAGAACTTGCCTGGCAAGCACAAGGTCCTGACTTCGCTTCCTGGTACTAGAAAAAAAAAAAATTTGGTACCAGGAATTGAACTTAGGACCTTGTGTTTGCTAGGCAGGCACTTGTGCTGCTGAGCTATATCTCTGGCCTTTTTTTCTTTTGCGGGTAGTGGTGGTTACCAAGGATGAAAACCAGAGCCTCTGCTCACTTGAGATGTTAGTAAGAACTGCCTCCTCAGTATTGTATAGCTGTGACGAGGAGGAGGCCAAGGAGAGAAAACAGAGACCAAGAAAAAGCAGCTGCTTTTGCTGCAGCACTAAGAGAAACAGACCCTAAGTCTGATTCTTGGGGCCCCAAGAAGAACTCGACCACTACATTCATCTGCTACCATTGCTAAAAGCCAGGCCACCTCAAGAGGAACTGCCCTAAGAAGTCCCCTGGGCCATGCCCTGAATGAAAAGGAGACCACTGGTGATCGGTCTGCCCTCTGAAGCGGAGGCCCCAGAGCTCAGACCCATCCTACCAGTTAGTCCAAAGGAATGAGGGGACCTGGGACATACCCTGCCTTTTCCCTCTGGCCAGACTGTCATCTCCATGGAGGAGCCCTGGGTAACCATGACTATGGAGGAAAAAGAAAACAGCCTGTTGCTAGACACAGGTGCAAGTCTCTCCGTCCTTCTTTGCAATCCTGGCCTTCCTTCCAGCCGTCACACCTCAGTGAAAGGAGTCACTGGCAAGGAGGTAATCCACTGTTTTTCACAACCCTTAGGCTGTAATTACTTGTTAGATCTTTCTTGCATATCTCTGTCTTCCTGAGAAACCGCTTTGAAGATACCACCATGTATTACAGCAGCCACTGATATTTTCCTCCTAATCTGTCCATAACTCTGTAATGTTTGTATTGTTCCTATGCTATTTTGTAAATGGATGTATGTTTATTATTATGTGTTTTCTACAACAACCATTGAAAATAGTTAATGATTATTCAATTGGTCACTCATGTATAGCTCTATTTATTTTCTTTAGAAGCCACTTTGAAGATACCAAAGTATAGTACAACAACTATTAATGAGCTCCTACCTCTTTTGTCTGTAACTCACTATAGTATTTGTCTATTTGTTTTCCTGAGAAATTATCTTGTAGATAACAATATGTAAAACAACAACCATTGATAATTTCTTTCCACTTTGTCTGCTATTTGGTAAGCTCCCCCATTACTATGTTATCCTTCTTTTACTCTTTAAAATAAAAAATTAAAAATAACAAAAAGCAAAAAAAACCAGAGCCTCCGTATCAAGCTACACCTCCAGGTCTTTTTAAAAAATTTTTTGAGACTGAGTTTTGCTAAGTTGCTCAGTTTGGGCTCAAATTTGTAATCTTCCTGCCTCAGTCTCTCAGAGTGCTGGGATTACGATTTCTTAAATTATAATTTCTTAAAAGTACAGTGATAGGGGGCTGGGGATTTAGCTCAGCAGCAAAAAGCGCCTGCCTGGCAAGCGCAAGGTCATGAGTTCAGTTCCCGGTACTGGAGGACGAAAAAAAAAAAATGTACAGTGATAGGGCTAGGGATATAGCTCAGCAGCACAAGTACCTGCCTATCAAGCGCAAGGTCCTAAGTTCAATTCCCAGCACCAAAAAACAATAATAAAAAAAAAAACCACAAAAGGAATTTGGGAAAAGTATACTGATAGCCAGTGATGGATACAGACTAAAGTAACTCATGCAGTACCCACCCAAATTCCATTAGAATGCCTCCACTGTGTGGGTCCCAGATATACACACGGGTATCGTAAGATGCAGTAGCCAGTAATGCTCCATCAGGAGAAAAGTCACAAGCTACAACATCATGGTGATGCCCTTCTAGTTTCCGTATCATGGTATACTTATCCATATTCCAAAGGAAAACCTGAAATAAAAAGGCAATGTTATAGCTTCATTCAGACACACAGAGGACAAAATGGCACATCTTAAACTAAAACTGATAAATTTAATAAAATTATATTAAATTAAACATTGTAAATTATGAGTAATTTAAAGAATATGCTCAGTGTCATAGATTAAAATCAGTCTTTAAGTTAATCAAAACAGACATGCAAATTCTATTTCAAATGTTTCTGTTAAATGTTAATTTAAAATATAGGCCTAAACATAAAATAAAGGCAATGCAATTTAGCCACAGTTATACTGAAATCCATTTATTCCAAAAAGTAATTAACTAAAATAAACAAATAAATAGGGTTAAGTACTACAAACCCCTTTTCTTTTCCAGAAACTACCAAATTTTTAAAAAATATACAGACAGAAAATGTAAGGTTAACAAATTGTTACTCCATTGGCATCTCCCTTTGAGATAATCACTTGTTTACAATAGGCTTGGATCACCAACGTGAGCCTAGGAAGAGAAACAGATACTGCAAGCAAAGAGAATTTTCACAGCCAAATGAAATTTCTTTGGCAAACAACAAGGATGTTAAACCACATTACAATATGAAATGCTATTTTATGAAAATAATTACAGTGTTTCTTTGAATCAAGGTTTATACCAATTATTTTTCCCAAACTAACTACAATCATTAGTTATTTTCAGTATAAAACAGTTAAATTACTTAAGAACAAGTTCACATACAGTTTCAGATTCTAAACATCAATAGACTGTGCAGAATAGCCCGAAATAAGATTCTAATGTTTATTTCAATGTTATATTAAACGTGAACTTAGAAATGCATAATGATCCTAATATAATAATCTCTCCTCCTGGGAGTAAAAGAATCCTTTTCTACTTTTTTTCTGCACAGACACAACATATTATTTCCAAGAAAGCAAGCAAGCACAAATTTCAAATTGGATCAAAGACTTAAGGTATCCAGCATCTTCCAAAAAGTAAAACAGAGAAACCATTTAAAAGCCAATTACTTCGAATTAAATTGGTTTCACTTGTTAAGACTCCCACTTCCATCAAACTGGAAGATCAATTTACTTGGAGGAGTCAGTGGATTTCACTGTGGGGAAAATTATATTTAAAAAGAAAAAAAAAGAAAGAAAGAAAAGCAGAAAGTGGACGTCGACCAGCACCTGTGTACGTACAGTACACCTTGCAGCCGAATGCAAGGTTACTTCATCCTATGGTAAAGGTCGCCCCCAGCCCGGTAGCCAGAGATGCCACTCTTTCTGCCCAGCTAACACCATTGTGCGCCTGTGTGCGAGTGGTGCCAGCATAACCTCAATCACACCAATATTGCTGCCACCACCTGTGACAGGGAAAGCAAGAAGCATATGGAAAACACACAGCCTAAAATAGCAACGTCAATTATCTAGTTTTGTTGTTTTATGACTTAAAGAACTGAACTATTTGTTCTTAACGTTCAACATTTCTAACTATCATTATAACATACCTCTTTGCTAAATAAAATGCATTTTAACTAACTAGTTTCCACCCCCCATTAATTCAAAGTGTATTGTGATCACCCTATGTATTTGCACTTCAACCTTTTCATAAGTACCCGAAGCTATAAAGATTCCTTCAACTATACTAACTCAGTGCTCTAGTTTAACAATAAATAGCATAACCCTCTTAAAAGTCATTTGACTTAAGCTGTCTATAGGTACGCTACATAAGACAGACAACATTTAAGTTTCATCTATAATTCATTCTAGGACATACATGAGTGCTTTTATTATTATGTTACTTTTTCAGTTAAATGTCCAGGACCAGCTGGGACTCAAAACTTTAAAAACAGCAAACTGGACAAAAATAGAACAACAGAGAAGAAAATAATTAGCAAGGGAATGTCTTAACATGAACTAGAACTCATCTATAGCACATAAACTTTCCTAAGTCTTGCAGAAAATAAATTTTATTTACTCCTTATTTTATAAATATTATCTCTAAGAGCAATCAAACCTCTCACTTCACAAGCAATAACTGTATTTAATTTCCCTCATGCAAATTCTCCATCATGAAGTAAAACAATTAAGATATTCATGACACCGAGCACAGACTTATTAGGTTACTTAGATTTAAAATGATTACGCATACATCGTAATTCAATTCATAGGGAATGTGTAAGAACTTTGACACATACTGCTTTACTCGCTCCAACTGAACACAGCATTGAAGAGTCAGGAGAGAATGCACAGCTGTACACCCAGTTCTGATGCCCTCTCAGTATTTTCATCATGTTTCCTAAACAAAAACAAGTATTTGTGTCAACCTTAGAATGTATTTCAAATGAGTAGCATTTTAAAATGGCAATATTTACCAAGTGCTTATTTTTAAAACAAAATTTTACCAATATGAATTTTACCATATAAATACAATCATGCCGGTTTGTTTACACTGTGCTACTACAGGAGACAGTATGGCCCACACGCCTAAAATATGTAACATCTATCTAGTCCTTTAATTAAATGCCTATGGCCCTTTGTCTAGGAGACAGAGTTTTCTTAGTATGATTCCCTTATTCTACAAATGAAGGAACTGAAATCTACCAAGTTTAAGACTTGCTGAGAATCTTCAAAATGCTTTTTCATCCTCTTTCACTTTGATCATCTACAATCCATTCTCAAGTCCTTGTTTTCCTTATACCCACAGGACACAACTACATTACTGCTTACATTACTTAACTGTGCCCCTCAAGAGCTAAGCAATCAGCCAGACAGGGTGGTACGTGCCTGTAGAGCCCGCACTCTGGGAGGCTGAGGAAGTAGGATAAGAAGTTTGAGCCCAGCCTGGGCAATTAAACAACTTAGTGAGATCCTGTCTCAAATAATAAAAAATAAAAGGACAGGCTGGGGTGGTAGCTCAGCGCAACACCTCTGAGTTCAAACCTCAGTATTTGGGGTACGGAAAGAGCTGAGCAATCATAGAATTGATAAAATGCAGGGTAGGTACCTCGGGATTTGGGAATATTAGTATTTTATTTTATCAAGCAACGGTTACTATCCATCAGGTGAAACAATGGCTCTAAATCTGAGGCTTTTTCCTTCCACATTCAATCTACTCATACTATATTTCTGCTTGGCAAGTCTGTCAACTTCCAATTTGAGACTGCCAAGCACCAACACGTCCTACTCAAATACAAAGTTTTAGTTTCAAATATAAACTGCTTCATTAGGAGATCAGGAGGCCTCAAGACAGCCTCTCTAAAACTGTACCACAAACATCAAGTTTCAGAAAAAGCTGAGTATTTGACATGAACATAACCTTTCTATTGTATTGAAGGGCAAAGAAAATTTTATTTTTCATAAAAACTTCTTAGCCATGCTTACCAGCATTTACAGTGCTATTAATTCTGGTACATAAATCTTGTTTTAGCCTAAATTTTATTACATTCCTGAATTTGTTGCTTTTAAGATCTACTTAAATTTTCACTAAGCACATGCAGGAAGTTAATTACCCTAAAATAAAGGAAATAAACACAAACCAGTTCATCCACAACCCTAAAAAAACGATCCAGATTTTGTCTGAGTACCTCATACAAATCTGTGTGGTTAGTTTCCGAACAGTATCAGATTGTTTACTTATAGTAACTGCTGGCTCCTACCCTGGTTCATCTTATGTTTCTATTCGATCTACATAGGAAAGGGATCAAAGGGTTAAAATGAAAAGAGGAAATTCTGATCAAACATCACTTTTAAAGTTTAATGCCAAGATATTCCCAAAACCTCTCAACAGTAATACCAAGAAATCAATCTCTTTACAGCATGGAATAAAGACATACCATCATCTTTTAGGTCCCACACTCTGAGAGTTTTGTCTCTTGAAGCTGATACTAGGATTAAGCTCCCATCTGGAGCAAAAGTCAAGTCTCTGATCACTTCAGTATGATCTACCAAATTAAGGAGGAGTTTTCCTAAACATGATGGAGAGGGGAAAAAGATTTATTTATCAGCTTCTACTTTTGAGAAATAGGGTTGCTAACTTCAGTTTAAAAAAGAAATTCTCATTGGTTTACCAGTACAAAGTATTTATTTATTGGTGCCAATATTTATTAGTGCTACTGTTGTTTCTTGCACAGATTCATTATCTACAATGTTTAATGGATTCTTCCCAGACTAGCAAAGCCTTAAATTTATTAGAAAAACTAAAAGACAATTCCTGATGTAAACAAACTCATGTATCAAGTTAATATCAAGAAAGCCCTTATATTATCATCTAAATCTTTGTATGATTTACAAAAACAAATTTTACCTTGCTTTTATTTCCCAAGCTCCCCAAAAGGTACAATTATCCCACAACTAATTTTTGAACACAATTTCAGTTAAAAAATTGTACTTTTCTTACCTATTACTATGAGTTTTATTTTCTAAAAACTATAGGTGCTTACCCAAACTCTTTTTTTTCAAGGCTCCAAATGTTGACTTACAGTGGTACCTCACTTCACGAACTTAATTCTTTCCACAATTCTGGTCACAAATCAAATTGGACAAGAAGTGAATCAAATTTCCCCATAAGGTCAACGTTGACCCTAACTACTGCATTTGACTTAGTTCTCATCCAATTCAATCTGCAACCAGAAATGTGGAAAGAATTAAGTCCATGAATGAAAGTACTACTGTATTACCCCCAGTGTTAGTATCATTTCCTGTGTTCTATAGTCCATCATGTTTTAATGCTCATTTAAAAATTCTTTTACATTTTTGAACACACACTGTATGCTAGACACTTTCATTTTGTTGTTGTTGTTATTTACCACTGTTTTAGGCAATGAATAAAACTTTTTAAATGATAGGGTTTTTTGCTATTCAGTCCACGCTGGCCTTGAACTCACTATGTAGCCTAGGCTAGAACTTGAATTTGCGATCTTCCTGCCTCAGCCTAGATCCTTCTGCCTAAGCCTAGGATTACAGGCATTCACCCAGCCAAAACATTTTACCTTTTTTTTTGCGGGGAGGCGGGTCTGGTACCGGGAATCAAACTCATGACCTTGCACATGCTGGGCAGGCGCTGCGCCACTGAGCTAAATCCTCAGCCCGTAAAACATTTTACTTTCTTTTGTTTTGTTTGTTTTTTGGTTTTTTTTTTTTTTTTTTGGTTTTTTTCCGGTACCAGGAACCGAACTCACGACCTTGCGCTTGCCAGGCAGGCACTTTGCCGCTGAGCTAAATCCCCAGCCCAACATTTTACTTTGGACAAGGCTTTTTTTTTTTTTTCCTGGTACTGGAAATTGAACTCACAACCTTGCACTTGCCAGGCAGGCGCTGTGCCACTGAGCTAAATCACCAGTCCCTAACATTTTACTTTTAATTGCCCAAAGAACAGAACTTAACCTGTCTTCTTAGACTTCAGATAAACAGTCACTAAAACATTCTAAGGCTAGATAATGATTATTAAAATCTAATTTGGTCAGGCATAGTAGCACATGTTTATAATCTCAGGACTCTAGGAGACTGAGGCAGAAAGACTGAAGTTCAAGCCCAGACTGGATAACTTAGTGACTCAGGGAGACCCTGCCACCAAATAAAAAATAAAAAGGGACGGGGATGGAGCTCAGTGGAAAGGTTCTGGGTTCAATCCCCAATAGCAAAAAAAAAAAAAAAACCAAAATCAAAAGACACTAATTTGCCTTGAAATCCCGGTACCAAAAATTAATTAATTAATTAATAATAATAATAATTTGCCTTGAAAGTCTCTAAGCCAGCTGTGGCAAACCCATGGCACATGTGCTGCAGCAGGCATGCCCGCACGCAAGCCAAGTCACCCCAGCAGCTGAGCATCAGGTACCAGTTGTTTTTTCTAAAATAAAATCTCAATATTCAAGTTTAATTGCACTGTTGGCACTTTGCAACAAATAAGTGGGTTGTGGGTTAGAGTTAGGGCACTCAGTCTCTAAGAGGTTCACCATCACTACTCTTTGAAAGAGTACATAAGAAAACACCTGTTGAGTCAAACTATAATTATTATTTATAAATAGTAATTAACTAGACACTCCCTAGAAATGTCTTCCTACTATAATATTCTCTGAAGGTCATCAAACAGTGGAAACTCTATATTGTGTTCCTAAATTAAAACAATGAGCTAAGCTAAAGATGCTATCAAGGCCAATTATAAAGACACACTTAAAGCTGGGTGTGGTGGCACACATCTGTAATCCCAGCACTCAGAGGCTGGAGGCTGAGTCAGGAGGATAGCTGTGAGTTCAAGGCCAGCCTGGGTTATACAGATACATACAAAGACAGCCTGAACTACAACAGCAAGACCCTATCTCAAAAAAAAAAAAAAAAAAAAAAACAAAACAAAACAGTAAGAACACACTCAAAGCACCAAGTCTTGCTTTTCAGTTCATTAAAACCCTCAAATCATGAATTTCAGTGCACATGAGCAGTATCCTACATTATAAAATAATCAGGTTTACTTTTAAAACATGAATCCATACCTGTATATACATCCCATATTTTGATACGACCATTGCTTAATCCTGTGGCAAGGAGTAGCTGATCTTGTCCAAATCTGAATCGATGCCATTCTATATTCACACACCGGCTCTGTTTTTCTGGAACTGAGGACCCAAAGGCAAGACTCCAGACTATATCTCCACAGTCTATAGTATGTTCGCAAGGGTTATTTTTTTGACCATCACTATTTTGTCTTGACAATCTTAAACTGTTTGAATTAGCAACATTCTTCGTGCCATGCAAGAGACTGAGGGGGCAAGTGTGAAATTGAATGATTATTTATTCTGGAACCCTGTAGACATTAACAATAAACATTTATCGCAATAACCTCAAGGTGATTATAATGAGAATGAGTAATAATAGAATCCTATCGATGGAAGGGGAAAGAATACTTGCTAGCTGAACTACAAAAGAATGATAGGATAAAATTAGGTATTTAACAAAAGTTTTCAGTTGTGGAAAAGTAGTTCAATAATAAAGCAATTTTATAACTTCTTTGCCTCCCAAATTTTCCTCAAAACCACTTTTATCAATTGAGACTACTTTAACTTAAACACAGAATTATAAATACGAAAACAATGCTGGGCTGGTCATGGTGGCACAAGCCTGTAATCCCAGTACTCAGGAGGCTGAAGCAAAAGGATCACTGAGTTCAAGGCCAGCCTGAACTGCATAGTGAAACCCAGTCTCAACAAGACAAAAAAAAAAATATCCAATAAAGTGTTGTGAAACGCAAAGTGAACGCAAGAAATTTCACATAACAAGGCATCTGCTCTGGTACA